GAATCATGGAGGGATTGAGGTTGAAAGGCCCCTCTGGAGATCATGTCCACCCCCCTGCTCAAGCAGGGTCAGCTACAGCAGGTTGCCCAGGACTGTGTCCAGTTGGGTTCCGAATATCTCCAGGGATGGAGACTCCACAACCTGTGCCAGCGTCAACCACCTTCACAGTAAAAAAGGGTTCTTATGTTCAAAAGGAATCTCCTCTATTTCAATGTGTGGCCCTTGCCTCTTGTCCTGTCACTGGATGCCACTGAGAAGAGCCTAGCTCCATCTTCCTTACTCCTGCCCATCAAGTATTCATGCACATTAGTAAGATCCCCCGAGCCTTCCCTTCTCCAGGCTGAACAATCCCAACTCTCCCTGCCTCTCCTAGTACGTCAGGTGCTCCAATCCCTTGATCATCCTTGCGGCCCTTTGCAGGACTCTCTCCAGTATGTCCATGTTTCTCTTGTGCTGGGGAGCCTAGCACTGGACACAGCACTCCAGATGCGGCCTCACCAGGGCTGAGTAGAGGGAGATCACCTCCCTCAACCTGCTGGCAATGCTCTACCTAGTGCAGCCCAGGACACTGCTGGTGTTCCTTGCTGCAAGGGCTCACTGCAGGCTCATATTTAACTTGTTGTCCACCAGGTCCCCTGGTCTTTATCTGCCAAGCTGCTTTCCAGCTGGTTGGCCCCCAGTGTATATTTTGCATGGGGGCTTTTCTCCCCATGGGCAGGACTTTGTATTTCCCTTTGTTGAACTTCTTGAGGTTCCTCTCTGCCCATCTCTCCTGCCTGTCAAGTCCCTTTGAATGACAGCACAAACATCTGGCATATCAGCCATTCCTCCCAGTTGTGTATCAGCTGCAAACTTGCTGAGGGTGCAATGCCCACATGGAAAAGCAGCAGGTGGTAAAAGTCTGAGGGCTGGATAAGCTCTGTCAGTCTTTCTACAACATCCTGAATCCAGTCCCCTGGCAAGCAGCAACCCTCACAAAACAGCATCTCCCACTACTGGCGCTTGCCACTTTCTCCTGGTGCTGCTGCGGGGCTAAGATTGAGCCCGGGCGGATGCATCATTGGCCAGAGCTCCCAGCCACGCATCTGCTCCAGGGCACTGAATCTGTTCCATAGCTGCAATCCTTGAGGTGGAGCAGGAGCCGTTCTCCTGGTGCCAGAAGTCACCAGCTTCCAGCCTTCACCATCCAGGGAGTCTCCATCTCTCAATCAGATACACACAGACTCTGCCTTCCCCTCCTTCAGTACAGCTGGGGGTTTCAGGCTCTTCTAGTGGCTGGGCCTCGGAGAAGATCCGGTTGACATCTTTCTCATCATCTCTGATGCTGCGCGATCTGCAAACCTCCCCACACGGTGCCTTAACTTAACGACATAGGTCCTCAGTGAGTACATGTTTCCAGCAGTCTGCAAGGCCATCTCCTGCTGCCCCAGCCGCCCCGAGAGGCCCTAGGCATCCCTGCAGCCCCAGACCAGCAGCGCCGCATCCTCCTGCCTCCTGGAGCTCCACCTGGGTCGAGACCTTCAGTGTTATGGGGACGCTTGCCCCCCAACAGCTGCTGGGGACTGTGCCCCGTGGTGCATCACCACCGTTGCTGAGGATGGGGTGCTGGCTGGAGCGGTGATGCTAGCCCTGTTCTGTGTACCTGCAGCACTCACTGCTGCACTTGTACTACAATTTAGTAGTTATGTGGGAAAGGGCCCATGTAATGCATGGATAACTTCAATCCTGAGATTTCCTACTTCTTTGTGCACTCAGCTTTGCAGCTGTAACATTTAGTCTTTAACTAGTTGGGGCCTGACTGTAAATTAACAAATAATACTTGCAATAACAAGAAATACAAGCTCTCATGAGCCTCTTCCCCCAAAGGCAGTCAGCCATGGGCTCCACGGGAGAGTGGAGGGCTGGAGAGGCCTCAGAGTAATTCAGAAGGCCCTGTCTTGCTTTATCTATAGATTGCATTTGAGGCATTGTTTTGAGCATCAAAACTACTGAATATCATAGCATCCCTGGTACACTTAGAGCTCTCCCAGCCTGAATCAACCTATGATACCATGATCCTATGGCAAAACACCCAAAGGAAAAGTATCAACGTAAAAGTGCCCTTTTGACAGAACTGACATTTCAGTTTAGATGGATGAAGCATGAGAGCCCAAGACTTCGGAACTGAAAACAAAATGAAGGGCAACAAAGTTGTTAGGAATAAAATCCCTTTCTCTCGTGAGTAGCTCATCCCTATATTTGTTAAGTTTTTTTCCTTGAAAAGGAT